CGTGATGAGTGTATGTAATTGCTTTGTGACGTCATCAGTAAATGGATCGGTAACTGAGATAGACGCTGGTGCTTATCAAACTAATTTGATGTCGAAAAGATGTAAAGGACAATATTGGTATCAGTCATTATCACATATTGATAGAACTAATTAAACACGTTCCAAATATAATTTTAACACAGAGATTATTGCTACGATAGCTGAGTAATACAGGTTTCCTGAATCGGAAGTGGCGAACGCCAAAGGAAAACACGAGGCATCCCTCTATATATAGTTGTTGTGTGAGACTGTGAGAGGATATCTAACAATTCATGAAAAGAATTGACTGCCACTAGATAAGAGAACAAGAAAGAAAAACAGAAAAAATCCGCGGATTAACATGTTTTTATAAGATATAGAATGAATATAAACAAGGGAATGTACGGACTATTTCTATTTTTCATGTGTTCTCTTATCTAATGACATTCAATTACTTGAATTGTCAGGTATCCTCTTACAGTCCCGTATAACAACTTTTGGTCTTCGAAGGAATTATTCGTGAGCAGAAATTCGGCCGTGTATCTGTTATCAGTCGTCACATCAGTCAGTTATATAGACTCATGACTCAGGAAACATGTATTACTCAGCTATCGTAGCAATTATCTCTGTGTTAAAATTATATTTGGAATGTGTTTAACCAGCTCTATCACGTAATGTGATAATGACTGGCACCAAGATTGTCCTTTAACTATGGTGGCTGTTAGCGGCCATTCAAATGAATCTAAATCGTCGCCTTGTGAAGAAGGCGACAAGTCGACGAAATCAACCCGCCGACACGACAAAATAACCCGACGATCGTCGCCTTCATTTTGTCGTGTCGGCGGGTTGATTTCGTCGACTTGTCGACTTCGACTTATTCACAACCCGACAAGGCGACAAGTCGCCGCACGACGAAATCAACCCGCCGACACGACAAAATGAAGGCGACGATCGTCGGGTTATTTTGTCGTGTCGGCGGGTTGATTTCGTCGACTTGTCGCCTTCGACTTATTCACAACCGACAAGGCGACAAGTCGACGAAATACAATTATTTCGACTTGTCGTGCGGCGACTTGTCGCCTCGGAAGTTAATTTGTGCGCATGCAAGTTATCCAATCAGCAAATGCGCATACTCGAGTTTGACAAGTCGACAAGTCGACGAAATCAACCCGCCGACACGACAAAATGAAGGCGACGATCGTCGGGTTATTTTGTCGTGTCGGCGGGTTGATTTCGTCGACTTGTCGACTTGTCGCCTTCTTCACAAGGCGACGATTTAGATTCATTTGAATGGCCGCTAACAGCCACCATATTTAACTGTTTTAAACGAATCGAGTCATTGAGTTTGTTTATTGACGGACATGAAATATGTGTTAAGTCTGAAATATGTTTCTGGATTGCACGATGTTCGCTACAACAATCTACGGAACTTGTACACATGCCTAAGTATACAATCGCTCTTTTAGCAGCGAGTCAATCTGTCTCCTATCGGGTACATGTATGGCGACGCTGGTACCAAAATGGAATTCTACAGTTTGTGTATAACCAGGGGCGCCGCGGTCGTTCGGTGAGTTACTAGGAGGTAACAGGTTCGTTTCCGGTGTTTGCCGAGAGATGACCTCGTATTTTGTTGGGGGGGGGGGGGCCTTGTCAGCGATGCAGGACTGAGGGGCGGACAAGGAAAACTGTTCAGTTGTTCGGATCAAATAGAACAGCCGCGGTCCCGTGTACGCAAAAGAACCCTTGACAAAAGGAATTAGAAAGACGGAGTTGACTGTCGTGCATTTGTCCGGGAAAAAGTACCCTCAAATCGCACTGCGTGGCGTGTGAGCCTTGTTAGATCTCCGTTCTACACCACTGACAAGGAGGGGGGGGGGCACGCCGGAAAATGTCGAGGAACTCAGAGCCGGTAATGGTTTCGATGTCATCCTTATATTCGACAAAGAGAATAGAATCCCCTAGGCTTTCTTAATATTTCATGTTTCCTCTTACCGCTAAAGACACATACATCTGCACAAGCAATAAATTAAAATACAAATGGAGGATCATGTTTGTCCTAAAATGACCTGACAAATGGACGTTAATCCCCATTTCTTTCGATAATGGATTCAATTTAATATGCACTATAAATGACTTCCCTTTAATGGAATCTAAATAACGATTTCGCTATATAATGGTATTAATTTGAATATAAATGACACTAACAACTACCAAATTATCATCCTTAATTAAATTACTTTATAAGTATCGGTTACTAATATAAAATAATTGTGGATTATTTCTCGTTATAATGATCCGTGTATTTGTTTTTTTAAATTGTAATAATTTTGATAGATAATCACATATTAATAATACATGCGTATAATGCCCAACGAAGTGTTCATTCAGTACTGAATGAGTCAATTTAAACCACCTATGATTGGATTGAATGAGAGATATCGTTTTTTAAATGAGATTTACACGATAAATAGGGAAACTAATCAGGTGCTTTCCTCTGGTAAAGGAGGTTCAATTGCTCTAAGCCAATTATATAAACGACCTTTTAAATCGATATGGATAACTTTAAACGATGGAGCTGTCGGTATTTCTAAAAACGTCCGGGCTAAACTGGTGATTGAAAAGCTAACTTGAATAGATTACGCAGGAAACGCCGGATGACTTGAATGGCACAGAACGACTGGAGAAAAACATGTACTGTTGAAACTCTAACATAATCCTTTTCAACTAATCTCAAAACTTAAATGGTTTAGGGAAATGCAGCAAGGGTCTTTCAGTTTGAATTTGAGAGAACAAATGCTAAAGAAGAATAATCAGTTATCAACATCTCATGCCCTTTGACGTTAATGGGATAATTCATTTGTGAGTTATTGGTAATCTACAAGCCACTACTATGACAAATAAAACAACTGTATAGGAACACGTAATCTCTGTGTTATTTGTGATCAAGAATCTACTCATCAAATAGCAAGACAGTGGTAATGTGAACACCTTCCTTAACTACTGTAAAAAAAAATCACTGGCCTTTAAGGTGTGACATTACATCATTTGGCGTCAGTTACACGTGCTCTGTCGTCGTCAGACGTATATAATAATTGTCGCCTTTTACTTAAGGTACGCCCCCGTCTACTATTTATGTACCTATTCACACAACCTAATAAACCATCTTCATTAGCCCAATCGGAACAGAACATGAACTCGTCCAAATGTCATTCATTATATTTCAAAACTATATAGTTATATGGGACAACAATCACTGGTTTATTATACACAAGCACGACGTTTCGATAAGTATTCTCTTATCGTTATCAAGCACAATTTGATAACGATAAGAGAATACTTATCGAAACGTCGTGCTTGTGTATAATAAACCAGTGATTGTTGTCCCATATAACTGTATAGTTTTGTTATGTTTCCAATTGCTAAATGCCACTAAAGGATTATATTCATTATATTTGGCGACCAAGCGAATATTTACTGTTGATCTGTTTGCCAGCTATTGTATGGCACCTGGTTATTGCCAGCACGCGGATCACGGTGGGTAAGTGGGCTGGAGGTCGAGTCTTCGATCCCTGCATTGGCCGAGAAAGTTCGTCCAGATTTTCCGGCGTGGTTCCCCATTGTCAGTGATGCAGGACGGAGGGCCTGACAGGGAAAGCGGTCTAGTCGTTCTGATGGGACAAAACACCGAGGTATCGTGTAGACATTGGCGTGCACGGGAGGGAGAGAAATGGGGTTTAACGTCCACTCGACACAAACTAGGTCATTTCGGGACTAACATATGGTTTATTTTTTTATTTCAATAATTCGTTTGCGCGTAGGGGTCTTTAGCAGTGGGAGGAAACCCACGAGGTTGGACAGGCGACCCTACTCCTTGTCACGTACAACCGGGAATCGAAACCCCGCCAGTTGACGCAATGACAGACCGTATGATACAGCGCGCGCGTGCTAACCATTCGGTCATCCAATCCCCTCTGGCGTGCACGTAAAATATTCCTTGACACTTGGAATTCGATATAAGAGTAGGCCGTAGTGCCGGTGTCCTGACAAAATTTTCCTCATAGCACACTGTATGGCGTATGCCCGTCTTCATTAGCCCAGTTCGGAGCAGAACGTTAAACCCAATTTCATTTCATTTCTATTGCCAGCACTCACCCATCTCCATTACAAACTACAACTACAGTGTTTCTTACAATTATTAAAGCATTCTAAAAACTAAGAAACTATATGCCCAGTTCTAGATGTATGGGGTGAGAGTTCAGAATGTATCCTGAACGGTCTAGATCTGCTCCGAAGAAATTTATATAATTAGTAAAAGGCATAAATATAGCTGTGTGTACAAAAGGAAAGTTTCATAAAAATATGTTGAACCGTTTAAGAGATATGATCCGGAAACCACCAAGAGAGACTTACCCCCCCACCCCCGATAGATCTAGACAAATACAGGGGCTAGGCTATTTCACTGATAGGACCCCCCTCCCAATCTACCTCTACAACTAGAGAAATGGGAAAGTGTGTTTTAAACATCCTTGAGCAAAATAGGTGTGATTAAGGATGTTTTCGACTTCAGTGTGTGTTAGAAACGCTTATGCCAGTGTCAGAATGTTTATACAATTGAGCGGAAAGCACTCTAGAGAAGCCATAAGCTTCAGACTGTCAAGTCTATAGGAAAATGTTGACTATTCTCAATGTGTCCACGCCTTAGCCGTTCCCTTAAAATCTGTTAAACTCTAATCTATATTTCGGTTGTACGTGACAAGGAGTAGGGTCGCCTGTCCAACCTCGTGGGTTTTCTATGGGTTCTCCGGTTTCCTCCCACTGCTAAAGACCCCTACGCGCAAGCGAATTATTGAAATAAAATTAAGCCATATGTTAGTCCCGAAATGACCTAGTTTGTGTCGAGTGGACGCTAAACCCCATTTCTCTCTCTCTAATCTATATTTCAAAGAGTGGTGGTATGGAGTACTATGAAGATTGAAACTTACCTTTCTATACAAACTGACACAAGTGACATGACGGAAGCATACAAAGACACAACAAGAGTAAATCGGTTAAATTTGCACAGGCCACCGCCTAATATCCATCCGCGGTTCATTATAAACTGAACTAGTTCTGGAATACCAAAAGCCATGATAAAGAAGTCGGCAATAGCGAGGTTCATAATAAAGATGTTAGTCACAGATTGTCTCATCTTGCGATCAGCTAAAATAACAAATATTACCAAGCCATTTCCCACGATACCGACCAACACTATTGCACTAAATAGTATGGACAATCCTATGATTGCGCCGAGGTCTGCTTGAGGTGGAGGCATAGGTGTCCTTTCCAGCATGGATCGGGTAGTGCCGTTAGTATCATTATACTCCGCCAGTATACTGGACAGAACCAGCGATTCCGGTGTTACATTAGACATACTCATTGTCTTCATACCCTGAAAGTAAATATATTCAATAAATTAATCCAGATTTAGTTTTACTTGCTTTTCCTGGACGATGTAATCATAGTTACAGCGGTACAAAATCCAGATATGAATCATGTGGAATATCAGTTTCCAAAAAAGTAATATCATAGTATTCATTTTATTGTCAACATGCAAAATCTGTCGATATATTTGTAGACAAATCTGTGATAATACTGGGTGTAACAACAGTACGACGTCCCCATTATCACATATTCGCATACTTTAGCTTAAGCCAGAACAGCGGTAATAAAATGATACATAGACAATGTACTACCAGAATTAATATTTCGTTAAAACGAATTATTATTTCAGTTAATAACGAATTAGTTATTTCGTTTAAACGAAATATTTTTTTTTTCGTTTAAACGAAATATTAATTAATTCGTTATAACGATATAATATTTCGCCATAGTGAATTCTGCGAATTCCTACCTTAGAGTCGTATATATAATTAGCTGAATGTTTTACGATTGTTTAAAAGTGAGAAAGACAAAACATTGTACGCCCCCAGAACCGCGTGGGCTACGCTAAAATGGAATAAAGTTACTGAGATTTCTACGAAAATCCGTCATTAGGCGTGAAGGTATATAATAAGCAAATCTAAATGTTAATGATGGTAGACTTGTCGAGATTAGACAAATGATAAGGAGTAGAATATATATTATAAGTGATAGTAAGTATTCTATGATGTCGGCTTCAGCTTGTAATCATCATTTTTATATAAAGCCTCAGAATCCTTTTCTTGTAATGCACATATGATTACATTATCCATTAACTGCAATTGGTGGAGAACCCCTTGTGGTGCAGGAGATATATATATATATATATATATATATATAATAGAAAAATCATCCAATGCTGATCATTATTAGTGGCAACGTATACTCCACCTACAGCAAAGCGACCCGCGCTGTCCATAACGGTTTAGATAGTGCTTTCCATCAATTATCTGTCAGAAATCAATAGGAATCGTTATTTTAAGGATGTGAACCACTCTACAATGTGGGCGTTAAAAATATTCATTTTTATTTACTGAATTGATGGAGATGTATTTTCCTACATGCGCGAGAAATTTCAACCCCCGTGTTCACATCGATGCTTATTTTCTTTCAAGTTAAATGAACAAATCCTTCGTTATTTCTTTATACGAATTAACATGAACTTCAAGATAAAACCTACCAGCCCTCTAACACGAATTATTTTATATAAGTAATGAAATGAAATGTGGTATAACGTCCTGCGGTTCTGCTCCGACAGGCCTAATAAAGCCGGGCACACACCATATAGTGTGCTATAAGGGAAATTTTGACTGGACAACGGCGCTATATCGGATTAAAACTGCGAGGGGATATTTTACGTGTATGCCAAAGTGTACACAGGACCTCGGTTTTTTGTCCTATCCCAACGACTATACCTTTTCCCTCGTCCAGTATCAATCTTATATAAGAGATTCGGAATAACGTGTCCCTTACACAAATAAAGTGACGACACCACCCACATGATTCCAATTGTGAAGGGATCTTTTACGTGTAGGCCAAAGTGTACACAGGACCTCGGATTTTTGTCCTATCCCAACGACTATACATTGACCCTCGTCGGGCACCAATCTTATATAAGAGATTCGGAAGAACGTGTATGTATATAAGATAAAATAGCGATATATTGAATTACCATCTACCTTTTTATCCAGAAAGAACCTATTAAAGGAGCTAAATCTCTATTCTTTGGCAAAGTAGAAATGGACACAAATGGATCACAAGCGAATCGTGTGCCAATTTTAAAAATGTCATTTTGTCCTAAATATTTGATATCAGTAGCCCATCTTTTCACGGTAAGATAACAACATCAATGTTGATTTAAATTGACCAATAAGTTGTGTTTGCATTGTCGAAGACGGTGGATGATATTGCGTTTAGAGTCGTATAATTGTCTCCTTTAAGTACATGCCATAAGATAAGATGTTCTGGCATCAATTCGCCTAGTATGTCTGATTATGATGTAATATAAAAGAACAAAAAAATATGGTGACTTATTTGCAGTTTGAACTACTTGTACAATAATTCGTTAGTTCAATTTTCCAAATTAACAATCTTTTGTCATGAGACTGATAATATTTTCAAATTAGTGAATGTTTTTTTTACAATCTTTAGGTCCAATGTTAATAATTTACAGAAATGTCCAGGGACAAAAGCCCATTAAGCAGAAAAATAAATCCAATGATTATGTTGGAAAGATACAATTGGGAATATGACAGAAAGTGTTTTTGTTCAAGATTCTGTAATGAGAAAATAACGGTTAAATACCAAATAATTGTAACGTTTGTAAATTGTACTGAAAGGCAATAGATACGCCCAATTTAATTGTTCTTTTTATATTGTAATAATACACTGTGCACGATTGAGCTGTTGGCGTTTTTTCTTTTTCTTTTGTAGTTGAGAAAAATGAATGCTAATCGGGATAAGCCGCTTCGATTTTTGTTTATAAAATAAAACCAAGAACGAACAATCCAAACCATTAGACAAAATTACCAAATGGACTGTACAACGTGTACAAACTCTCGAATTGAGTGGATTTGTTTTGTTAGGTTTTTTTTATGTAATGTGATAAGTTCTATATTTATTTCAGAGCGGAAGTATGCGTTATTTTTATTCCAATTTCCGCTTACTGTACGTGTTATACCCCAACACTGACCTTTTAAAGACCAATGAGGAAGTCCATTAGATTATTATTTGGGTTTCAAAATATTGGTTTCTCTGAAAGTATTGCATTTAACTGACTTTATTACTTCCTCTATCAATCTGATTAAAACACAGATCCTATTTCGTTTCGTTTTTTATAGTTCAAAATTTCATTTTACTTGTCTTTACTACACTAGGATCTGGAAGGGTTGTTATATAACCCGCGTTCTGGGGGATGTGTGGGATTAGCCAATGAAACGGTCTGTTACGGCAAGTTTTTGGCGTGATGTACACGGAACTGTGGGTACCCCACTAGAAACATCAACGCTGATTGGTTAATCAAAAGCCACTCGTATAACCCCTAACGCAACCTCCCACTACAACTGGTCAGATCTTCATACTAGTAGAGGCCATCGGAAGTATAAAAAACGAAACAAAATATAGATTTGTATTTTAATCAGATTGTTCATCTATACCCTTTTTTGGAAAAACAAACAAAATCTGTTAGTTTGATTTATGTGATGTGATAAGCTCTATATTGTATTTCAGAGCAATTACGCAGAAGTCGGTAGTTTGTGATTGCGGACATCGTTGTTATTTTTATTCCAATTTTCGCTTACAGTGTTATATCCCAACATTTACCTTATCTAAAGACCAAAGAGGAAGTCCATTAGATTCTTATTTGGGTCTCAAAATATTATTTTCTCCGAAAGTGTCGCATTTCACTGACTTTATTGCTTCCTCTATGCCCTTTTTGTAAAAAAAAAACCAAACAAAATGAGAACAAAATGTATCAATTTCAAAATAATTGTCTATTCATTAGTTTTTATATCAACAAAACATTTCCTCGCCAATCTTAAGAACAATTAAGAGTTCTGTCTCTTAAGATCATCAAGAAACAATATAATCTCAAATTTCCATTCATCTCCATGACGCCATTACGTACATTGTAACACCTAAAATAGGTGGGTTTAATAACAAAACAGATTGTTTTTGTCCTCGATATAAATCCAAAAATAAATTTAAAATTGGGTATATTTTTTATAGTTCTTTCGCATCATGTAATCGTTCGTGGTGAGAAAAAAGCACGAAGTACTTATCTTTTTCTTCTTGAATGTGCATATTGATACGAAAATTTGAAATGTAGGTTCTTGGATATGGGTACGTAGGCAGAAGACGAAAACATGTATCTAAATTTTTTAACACGTGTATTGTATTGATATTGTGAACCAGTAATAATGCTTCCATGAGAGCTGACGTATGGTGTATATTATATGAATAATCATGAAAGATGAACGAATTCTATGCATTTAGCTTGTTCAATTCACATCAAGTAGGAAATTCAGACGTGCACCGAGGCTATTATAGAGATAAGTATTCGCATGAGCGAGGTGCAAGATAGATTAATGTGGCCAACGGTTAAATTTTTTTTGAAATTTAATTGCAAGAGTCGATCATTTTTAACAAAATCCAATTCAGGTTTAGGTGTGGTTAAGGGGCAGCTCTTACTAAATTACTTATATGGTCGAGAATGTGATTCCGGGAAGACCGAAGTCAATTAATGTGCTGAAGTAATGACATTTCTTGTAATCCAGTCTAAATATAGCAAAATATCTCGACATGTTCATTCCATGAAAATAAGGAAATGAAATGAAATGAAATGCGGTTTAACGTCCTACTGTTTTGCTCCGAACTGGGCTAATGAAGACGGCAATACGCCATACAGTGTGCTATGAGGGGAATTTTGTCCGGACAGCGGCACTACGGCCTACTCTTATATCGAATTCCAACTGTCAAGAGACTAGACAGCTGTCCTTGTCAGGCCCTCCGTCCTGCATCACTGAAAAGAGGGAACCACGCCGGAAAATCTGGATGAACTTTCTCGGCCAATGCAGGGATCGAACACCCGACCTCCAGGCTAGCGAGCCAGCGTCTTACCCACTTAGCCACCGTGGCTCCCGTGAAAATAAGGATTCAGTGTCTTGAGTCCAAGGTGGTATGACAATTCTAATACCAGTCCTTGCCATTATGAAACTTGTGTGCCTTAGAAATAAAAGCATGGGTTATTATTGTAAAACCGTAAGTGCTGTCAGTCGTTACAATTGATATAAATAGGGTTTATATCATCTTCAATAAAGGGGTTGATCTCGCTTTAACTCCGTACATCTTATCCATCATTTCACGTAATACCCCGCATATTTCGGCACTAATTTTGATTTGGTACTGACCATGCTTGAGAGCCTATCAAATTCCTCGATCATCGTGAATACCAAGTCTCACGCTTTCAAACTA